TATCTAAAGATTTGCGTCGAAGCGTTTTTTTTTGATAGTGATTTTAATCACTGTCAGATATCATTATACTTGATCCAACTATGCAACGTCACCAATGTGCCGCGACCCCCCTGTGCTGGGTTTTTTTACCTTAAGTTACATATTATTCTTGAATTAGCTATGTAATATTTTTTAAGTTCAACCCTCATGCATTGTAAAGTGTCAACTTAGTATTTTCAAATTGTAACATATATTTTAAATTTAATAACATATTTGAGTTTTTATTTTAATAGTAGATAGCGTTTGAATTTTTAATATAACTTTATTTGTTTATTAGATATAAAACTTTAAAGTTTCAAATTTTTGCCAGTAAATGTATTTATAAAATCACAACAATGTGCCTTACTACCATTCATACTAATCGCTCCTTATCTGCGAATATTGACGTAGTAAAGAAGCATTAAGCTACCTGAGTTTGTTATTCCTCAGATGTTAAACATTATAATTCTGAAAATGGCATATTTAAAGTATTATAACTGATAAATGAATAAATTCAAATACTAATATTTTACATATTAGGGGGGCGTGGTGGACACACTAGATGTTGACAAAACCCTAGTGTTAAGCCACGCTTGCCGCCGTAGTGTACGGATGTGTGACCATACGTGCGTTCTAGGGTGGCAAAAAGCACCAGGTCCCAAATATAGAAGGCAACGGGAAACCACTGCACTTATCCCTTCCCTAGTAATAACAGTTAGTGTCCCCATTGTGCTACGTTATTCTACTTTAACTCAGTGACTATTGCACTACTTGTGCTGATGTACTAAAAAGGTGAGAATAGTACAAGAAAGAAGGTGAGAGTGTGCTACCTTAGCCTTTTTACTTATATATTTGATAGTCTTCATCTTTTAACTTTTTGCTAATCTCGAATGCCGTACTGCCTTTTAAGACTGTTTTATTAGTATCATTTTATAATTTATTACATGGTAATTATAACCTAGATAACTATTACATTAATATATATATATATATATTTAAATTACAAAGCATTTTTATGATATCAGTTAGGTACATAATACAATTTTTGTGACTTATCTTATAATTTACATTCAAATATTTTAAGAATTATTTAAAAGTAATATGAATGGATATTAAAGTATTTTTTATAATTAAAACAATCTCAAAAATTATTAAACAATTTATCTTTGTTATTGAAAAGTACGTGCCGACTCATTTGGTTCCTCGAAAAAATAAAATATATCTCCCCTGAACAAAACGGATTTCGACAAAATAGAAGCACACTAAACAATCTTCTAAGTATCAAAAATGAAATCGAAATTGCTATGAACAACAAACAAAGTTTAGGTTTGATCAGTTTCGATATTGCCAAGGCCTATGACACCACCTGGAGGCCCAGAATAATGCACATACTGAACAAAATAATATGCAAAGGGAACCTACTCAATTTCATCCAAAACCTATTACTCGAACGTTCCTTTCAAGTCAAATCATCAAACTGCTTATCTGATATCTATATACAAGAAAATGGAGTCCCCCAGGGTTCTTCAATTTCAGTAACACTTTTTCTGCTAGCTATAAATGACATCTCCAAACAAATACCTAAGCCTAACATCCCCATGCTATATGCTGATGATTTCTCCATGATATGTCGAAGCAGCATCCTTATAACAATAAAACAAATACTTCAAGACGCTACAGTTGAACTAATTAAATGGTCAAATACATCAGGGTGTAGATTTTCAGCTGAAAAAACCAAACTTATTATATTCAACAACAAAAACAAAAATAAAATGTCAATTAGTATGGGCAAACATACAATCAAAAACGATAAAAATATCAAAATCCTCGGTATAACGTTTGACTCAAAATGTACCTGGACACCCCACATTCTACAACTAAAACATGCCTACGCCAATCGACTTAATATAATTAAAACGTTATCCCACACATCATGGGGAGCCCATTCCTCGGTACTCATCAAGATTCACAAAGCTCTCATCCTGGCCAAATTAGATTATAGATCACCCCTTTTTTCTTCAGCAAAACACCGGCACTTAAAAAAACTTGAAACACTCCATAACTCAGGTATGCGACTTGCAATAGGAGCATTCCGTTCCAGTCCCATTGACAGCATATCCAATATAGCAGGAATACCCTTCCTATCACTGAGATGGGCAGAACAGAAAACTTTACAGGCAGCCAGAGTATCTAGATCCCCACAAGGATACTCCTCATCTCCCTTAAGGATATTTAAAAATCTACAAGATAAATTTGACCTAAACCATATCATACCATCTACTATTAATCTTCAGCAACCTTGGACAATTTCTCTAGACAGCAACCTCGATCTCCATCACCTACCAAAAAAAGACACAAATCCTAAAATATATAAACACCACTTCAATGAAATCA